ACGACGGAACGAAGTGAGAAATATTTGCGAGAAGTCGACTTAAGTCCGATTAGAGCAGAGATGTGAAATATGCGAAGAACGCTGATATTAGTTGTCGAATCGGAATTTGTGATTCTATGAATGACTCTGTGACTGTTTTGGGCAAGTCGCGCATGAATAAGAAGAATGAGCTCCATTTACAGAGCTATTGCATCTGTCATAATCGAAAGCCCCCAAATGGGAGGAACACACCCAATCATAGGATGGGCTATAGACATACAAGTAGATATTTAGCACACTGCCGGGCGTTGCGATGGCAATTAGTTACCGCAACCGCAACGAATTGCAATGGAAAAACGCTCAATATGGCATTTAATTTCGATTCGATTTCGAGTCGGAGGAAATATTGGAACCCCCTCTGATGTAATCCAAATCGCGTCAGAGACCCACATTTAATTGAAGGTCAGCCGCAAATGGGGCAGCAGAAATATATTTAAATAATGGGCAAGCGTACTCGACTGTTTTATACACTGCGCTATTCTCTGATTGTTACCATGAGATAGTGTATATGAAAATATTGAAATATATGTTTAGGCTACGTCTTGAAAAATGCTATATTTTTTCGTTAATGTTTTTTGTTTGGGAAAGGTGATTAACCGATATGGCTCAGTTTAGATTTGCGAATTTAAAAAACAAAGCATTGGATATTTGAATTGAACTGCAAATTACGGGTTTTCGTTGAGTTAGAATTTTTCATGTGGCAGCAGCTTTATCATTATGGGAAATCTGATTTAAATTCTCATATACACTACATAAACAATTTTGTTTAACCACTCAGATATTCATACATAAGTTACATTAAAAAAATTCCAGCAATATTATGATAAACTTTTAAGAAAAAGGAAAGGAGTGTCACTCCTATATTTCCTTTCGACAAATAATTATGTAAGTTATTTTCAAAAATATCCCTGTTTTTTTTACTTATGTAGCTAGCGGCTTACCAACATTCTCCCTACGGCTTACAAACGTGAGACATAAATTGCAACACCCTCTTGAAAGTGTATTAAAAAAAAGCGAAAATGAATTAATAATTAATGGATAGAATGACGGCAGCTCAGCTTGTGGGCGACAACCACTGTAGAACTTGACCCCAACAAAAAGGCAACAAATTTAAAGCGAATTGGTAACCACAGAAAACCGGTTCCAAGACCATTTTCAAAACACAACACTAGCCTTCTAATTGTGAAATGAAGATTTTCACAAATGTGGCAACATTGATGGCCAAGACGTTGAGGCAGCTTTGTAGTCAGTTCATAAAAAACTTCAAAGCGAGTGCGCGTGTGCATATGACGACTATAATTGGCCATAAAGGCCAGGCGAGGTACCGTTAATGAGTCCATGTCTGTATGAGTGTGGCTGCCAAGCTAAGCGTGAATGGCCGTTATTTGGTCCCAATGGCTTCTCACCTTGCAACAATGCAACATAAAACGGCAGAGAAGTTGGACTAGCCTTAATTAAGAATGCAACTGCAGCTCGAAAATGGAAAATGTAAGTAAATAGTGAGTGAGCGCGTTCCGTAAAAGGGCGACGAAGTTGACCAACTCATATGGGAAATTGGCGAAGAAGAAGAGGGAATTTGTTGACCAACGGAGAAGTTGAAAATTTATTAGAGTAATTAAATGCACTCCCAATAACTTCTAAAGCCAATTTCCATCGCTAAGAATCGAAAATTGGAGTACATTTAAAATAACTTCCTTAGCTGGAGTTCCAGCTTGGGTTATTATGTAATTTCCACTAGTTTTCGATCGAATTATTCTATAAAAACTAATTTTTAATATTTAATGTTATCCTCTAAATATTTATATTCCCAGTGTGTTTTATTTATTAGCACAACTGGCAAACATTTCATAATATTTGGTAATTCTTTGCTCGCATTGTTTCTGCACACACATTCTTCATTTCCTCGCCATGGTAGAAATCTTGAACAGGCCACCAGCAATATACAGTAATTGGCTTTGCTCGCTTTTCTCTTATCTGCTCTGTACGATCATCACATCCATATGTACATATGTATGTATGTATGTCTATGTTTGTTTACCCCCACTATCTGTTCATCTCAAAATTCCATTCTCCCTCACTGGCTCCGTTTCTCTACTTATCTCGCCATTGCTTCTACACCTGTCCAAATTTTCAGCTTGCATGACGTATTAGGTGCATTGTCTTTTCTTTGCACATATTACCGTTATTTTCCGTACAATATTTGTTCACATGTTTATATTGTTTACCTTGTTCCGACGACGAACGAGATGTTGTGGCCGATGTACTCGTCGAGAGCATTTCGTAGATGTCCGTCTGGACGGCAACACTGACTTTCTTCATGTTGGCAAGGACGCGCCCGCACTCTCACAAACTGTCACAAACCCTCACGTCCTGCTCTCCACGTTTTTGCGTGACCCACCCTTGTGTAACCCCACTGTGACCCACTTTAGCACGTGGGGGTCACATAAAACAGATGACTCAGGTCACGCAAGCAATTTGTTGTTGCCTTTTGAAACAGATTTATTTAAGGGGTACTCCATCCACTTGAGAAACAATTTTCGTAATCAATTTGCGCATTCGTATTTTCTTTTGTATATTCAATCTCAATTGTTTACTCCAATAGCAGAAAAGAGCAACAACAACAACACTGCTTTGGTCATTGAGTGAGTTGCTCAAACGCGTGCCCTGGCGCCGTTTCAATTTCAGAAAAAGTTGGGAACAACTTTAAGTAAACAATTGAAAAATTCGAAACAACAAGTTTTCACTTTAGGGAGAGCGCGGCAACGGCGTTGGTTACTGCATTGCAATCCGTTATTTCTATTATACTACCGCACTATGTATCTCTTATACCCGACGAAAGCAGCACGCGACTTTTTATGAATGAGAAGAGTTGTTGTCTCAACTGTCTGGCGAGGATTACAAACGTAGTGAGATTTATTTCTATTGGGCTTAAATTTACAAATGCGTATCACAGTTATTCAGGAATATTTAAGTATGTATGTACGTATCGGCTGTTTTATTTGCGCGGGAAGAGATTCTGATTCTGCGAAAACGTAATGAGAATGGCGGATAGTTGCGGAAGCACCGTAAAAAAAGCTGAAGCATAACAGACCGGACCTGAACAGAATCAACCGCTTGGAGCGCACGCTGAAAATGAACTGAGGCAGACGTGAGAAGAGACGAAAGGCCAGACAATGGGGGCAACGTGTGAGCACAGTTACATTTGCCGCTGCAGCTTTGCAGTGGGGTGCGCGAGAGCTTGCCAGTAAACACGCGGCAGAGAGAAATACTATACATATCAACCTCTCAGAACGCCGCGTACAGTGGGCAAAGCAACTTTTCAGCTTGGTTTTACGATTCATCTAAGTGAGTGTGAGTGTGTGTCCATGTTGGCTCATTAAATTGCCCAAACTAGATGGGGCAATGTCATAGCGCAGACAACAAAGGCCAAAAAACCAAGCCCAACAACAATGCAGAGTCAATACGACAAAACAGAAAAAACGTAAAAAACCAGAATACAGTAGCAAAGGCAAGAACAACAATAACAAACAATGACGACATCACAAAACACGCAGGCAAATGTAAGTTTGTATGTATAGTCGGAGAACACATAAAACACACCTGGATTGAAGCTCAGTTTGATACTGAGCTTTGAATCGTACGCTACCGCCATCTAGCGTTCATATGTTTAGTTTATGTGCCAGTTAAGATTTTTAAGAAAAATTATGTGTGCAATTTCCATTTAGGCATCATTTGTATATGCTGTGGCATCGCCTTGAAAATACACATATGTGTGTATTTTTGTTTATAAACATACATACATATATACAAGTACAAATATCAAAGCTGTTTCTTTCTTTGCCAAAATGACGTCATCTTAAAAAATATTTTGCTCTTGAAGAGGTCAAATGCTTTGGTGCTTATAATACGTACACACATACATATGTATGTGCCTAATACTATTACCGTATATAAACAGCAAACAAATTTGTATTATAAACGATGGTATTTGCTTTTGCGTCATTTCGACTACAGTTGAACCTACAGTTTTGTAGCAGTCGCTTAGCTTGGCACAGTGCTTTCAAAGCGGTGCAGCAACAGCACAGTCACCCTCAAACTGGAACGAGCGACAAAGCTAGTTTGTTGTCTAAGCAAATTGTTAAATTTTTTAAAATTTGTGATATTTCTAAAGTTATGTGATAACAATTAGACAGTTGTGTACAAATGTGTGACCATTACCCGCTTCTTCAATGTGCTGCCGTTAGTGTAGCAAAAGCTCAAGTTTTAATTAAATTAATGCACAAACTACGTATACAAGAAATAATTAATTTTGTTAAACATTTGACAAAAACACACAAGCAAAACTAGTTATGTAGTAGACAAAACTCCAAACTTATGTACATTAAAAATTAAGAAATAAATATAAAAATATAAAATGCAATTTACAATGCAAAGATTATAACAATTAAAATTTGTATATGCTTCTTTTTCATTGTAAATAAGAAAATATTTATTTGCCAAAAAGTTTAAAAATAATTAATTTTAAAAAGACAACAAATTCGTTGCATAATGCGTTTTGTCAAATGCACAAACAAAATTAAAAACTCCAATTATGTAAATATATATATATAGATATAGTATGATACAAAAAGTACAACAAAAAATTTTGATTCAGGCATTTGTGAAGCAGTTTTACAACAGTTTGAGAGCAATTGTTTAAAGCAATCCCCTCAAATTGTTAAACAGACGCTCCAGTCGCCCCATAGGCCGATTGACCAGCGCATAGAGCGACCGTAACGTCCACAGCAGAAATCTATAGAGCGCAAAATGTCCGAGCAGATTGGACACGTCAAGCACAAAGTCGATGATGCGGGCGATGAAGCGTGTAATGGGGGCACATTTGCATTCGGGCGACGACGGCGCCCGCCGCCGGCCGCTGCCACCGGAAACCACGTGCAGAACGAGCCGCTTGTGGGACTCACCTTTTGTCTGGCCGGCGCACTGGGCGGAGAGCACGGTACCGGGTGGGCCGCGTAGGACGGCCTCCAGGCAGCGAATATTGTCGCGGCAAGTGTTGATAATCTCGTTCTGCGAACAAAAAAGAATTCGAATAAATCAAATAAACCAAGGTAAACACACCTTGTCGTTTCTTATTTAATTATCTGAGAATTTAGAAACCGAAATTAAACTAATTTAATTCCTGAAGCAATAATAATTGTACAGTGAAAACTCTCTTGGCCAGACACTCACGGTCAGCCAATTTTTGTCCGCCCAAGGGGAGTGTCCGCTTAAGGGGATACTTAAATACTTTATACACCGATCGAATGTTTTTAAAAAAGTGTCTGCCGAAGAGAGTGTCCGGAAAAAAGGTGTCCAAGGGAGTTTTCACTGTAATTGTTACATTGGGCGCGTTTATCGGGTCGTAGCGATTTGCGATTTGTTATCGATAAGTACTGATTTCACCTGCTGACCACTGTGATTTGTGATTCGGACAAGTAAAAATGTCAATCGAAATCACAAACACAAATCGGAAAAATATTATGATTAATTGATTTAGATTTTTCGATTTTGACATTACACAGTCAGAATTCTGTCGAGACCTTTGCGGAAATATATAAAATGGCAAGCTGTGACTTTTTGACCAAAAATAATAAAATCAGAATATTTTATTAAAACAGTCCTAGCAAGCGGTCGGCAGAGGCAATTCAACAATCGATAATCAAAAATTACAAATCGCTTTTCATATCAGTCTGATATCTTATAATCGTGTTATAAGTACTTATAATTAAAGAAATGGAATCTCCAATTACAAATCAAAATAAATTCACTATTTAACGGAAAGAAATCCAGAACTTATAGTATGACTCAGTGACTATTGAAATATATATATCGATAAATGAATGCACCTATTAAATAAATAAATTATCAAAAGATATATCAATTTAGAACTTTCGGTTTCTCTAAACTTTCTCTACTAACATCTTTTTAGGGATCTATGTTTTGATGAAATTCAACACTAAAAAAAAGTGATAAGCAATTTCTCTTGTGAGAGGGGAAATCAAGGAATTCACTATTTTCACATGTTAATAAAACTTACATAGTCCTCCGGTCTGAGAAGGTGACAGCGCAGCTTAAGAGCTCGCGTATCCTCTAGACGATCGCGACTCTGTTGCAGCAGACTGCGCATCTCTTGCTCGCCGTCCGAATCATCGCCACTCGAAGATGATGTGGCCGGAATAAGTTTAATACACTTCTCCAAATTGCGTGATGATCGACGGCGTTCGTCTGCCGTCACTGTGCGTCGTCGACGGGTAGATGTGTCGCTCTCCGAGGTGCGACGCAGCAACGACTGAGCCGAGTGGCTCATCTGGCCACCAAACTCAAGCTTGCGGCCCACAGAGTCTCCGCCTGTTTTGGCCAAGAGTTGTGGCTGATTCTTGGGCGTCAGCGCTGTAGCCGAGGCGGATAGTGGAAGAGTGTTTTGTTGCGTTTGCTGGGAAAGTGATGGTTCAGCAACGTCTGTGAAGAGAGGAGGGATGGCATCAGCTTTTAATTTTTTATTCAAACTTAGGTGGCAAAACACTAATATTAATACATTCTTATTATGAGAACTGGAACTCGAATCTTATTAGATCCAAATAAAGTTGCTTTTAAAGTATTCTCGAAGTTCGATTCTATTATGTACATGGAAACCAATATCGATAAAAGTTTCTTCTCTACCCTGATCCATTTGTTAACATAATTTATTTGCTTTGGAAGTTGTTGAAGAAAGAGCAAACCCATGGGAGTGTTCATACAAAAATGACATTTCAAAAAATGTTCAGATTTATTATTTTATTTATGAGATGAAAAAATAAGAACAGTAAGGGCCCAAAGGCCCTCAGATAAGTTACATGTCTAAATAGAGCAAAAATTAGTTTAAAAAAGTATTATATTTCAGTGGATACTAGATAATAAGAACAGGTTATAAATATATGTTATAATATAAATATGTATAATATTTAAAAATGTTCGGTTTAAAATAAACTTGGTTCGAGGCCGTATCTCAAAACTTCGTAATGTTGTACGGAAGGACAGACGGATAGGGAGACAACAAATTTTATACAAATTCGTCTCGTAGTATAGTAAATATATCAAGATAACCCTCGAATAGAGGGTGAGAATACAGACGACTATTGTATAAATTAGACTCACCTTGGCACGACTTGCGGCGTACTTCGAGTGTCTTGCGACGACGCTCGTATTGAAGTTCAAGGGCACGCTGGCGACGTGCGTGATCCACGCTACTCGAGATGGTCTCCTGGTTGATGTGCAGCACCTTCGGCTCGTGCTGTTGCAGTGAATCCATGCGCGGTGGCGAGAACGAGTCCACGTTGTTGGCTGCCGACAGCGATGAGCAGCAATCCGATTGTGAATCAATGAAATTGCTGCGGCGCAAAATTTATGAAAGTTTTAAAAATAGTTGCATTTTTGGCAGCCGACCCGAAGGTCGCCGATCGGACGCATCCGAGCACCGACCCCACTACTCACCGATAGTCGTCGCCGAATTCCAAAAGGCGTCGTGCGGCGTCCGAATCAAAGCCCTCAGAATAGTTTTCTGAGTTGTATTTCTCTTGATAGTTGTCCCAGGCAGTCTCAGAGATGCTACTGTGATGGTCCTCGGTGCTGAGCTCTATATCGTGCGATGTGCAGGGGAAATATGCAATTAGATACAAGGTGGGAATAATGTCAATGTAATGTACTGAACAATTTTCGGGGTGTACAGATTGTGGAGGGTGCGGGGTTTGGGTGCATTTTGTACCTTTCTGACGGGGAACGGGAGTGCGTGCTTGTGAGAGACAGAAATGATAGACGTAAGACTTATAAGTGTTAGAAGACGCGCTCAACCCTACCTGAATAAATTTTAAATACTTAAATGAACAAAAATGAACCCCATAAATTACTATAAACATTTTTAAATATAACTAAATTTAGAAATACAGTTTAAAAAGTTCTCTATTACTTTAAGATATTACAAATATGTAATTGGGGATGTGGGTTTGTTCCTGAGTAGGCACTCGGTTCGCATCACGCCGCAACCAATATGTAAATACTTGGTTTAAAAATTACAATGTTATCATAAAATTTAGTCCAACAGGGACAGATCTTAAATACAGATTAAAGATTAAAATAAATGTAATCAATGTGAATACCCACATAGGTATAGTACTAATTCCATAAATATTATCTCATTGCTCATTCCCTTTGCACACATACTATATGCGGGCTATATTTGTTCAAAAATATGCTCCATCTAATCTAAAAGATAACACTCAGATTCTAAATGACTCACCTGCTTGCTGGTCATCATCATGGATATAGCTGGATATCGCTGCCAAAGCGCCCAGCCGCGACTCGCTGGCCATAAGCGCTGTGGTAAATGAGCCGACACGGAACTTGGGAACCATCAACTGCTGTGGCTCCTCTCCACCACTCTCGTTATGAGGCTTCTGTGGAGACAGAACTCCCACACTGGTGCCCTTTTGGATACTCAGCAGAGCGTTCGTGAATTCCTGAAGCTGCTGCGATGACATAGACTCGCACGACTTCATCAGTGTCTGCGTCAGATCGCCATGGACTTCTGAGCCCGAGTCAGATTTCTTGCCCGCGGAGGCGGCCGAGACGCGCTTTTTGCGGGCGCGACGGCGTCGCAGCGAACCCTTGCTATCAGCTTTGCGAGCGGTGTTGCTGCCTGTGCCCGAAGAGGATGCGGCACGTGGTCGCGGACCCGGCGACAAGGAGTCCAAGGCCGACTCGCTAATTGAGTGGCTCGCCAGTCCGGGCGGCGAATTGGCACCCGTGGCCACTACGGTGGTTAGTTGTGCAGCATCTGTTGTCAGCTGCGAGAGGCAAGACACTGACCAAGGTCGCTCGGATTTGCGACGCGTCTGAGGACGTTTTACAATCTTAAGATTCAGGCTTTGATTGCTGCTGCCAAAGCCGAGTGGGGTTACGGCTTGGCCAATGGGTTCCGCTGAGCCGCCAATGCGCTCCGTGGAGTTGCCATAGGAGTTGGTGCTCGTTTGCATGCAAGTGGCAATGGAGTCGGTGAAGCCTTCGGATGTGTCCGAACCGCCCGGCTGTGGTATGGAATCGGTTTCTGAGGCCTCCCCAGAAGCTTCACAATCGTCTGGTGGTTTGGCAATACCGCCAAGCGGTTCGTGGACTCGATTAATGAGCTGAGGCGTGGACGGCTGATGCTCCAGCCATTCCTGTAAGAAATTGGATTAATATTAGCGAGAAACTAGATAGGGGTATGGTAATTATTTTGGACTTACTTCCACACGCTGTTTTATAGGTCCAGGCATGCTGACCTCGCGTTTCTTGACCGTCGAGGAGATTTTCACAATGGAATGTTTCTGCTTCGTCGGCGTCTTCAACGCTGCTTCTTGAGCGTCGCGCACCAAATGCTCCGCCTCGAGCACAAGCTGTTTGATTGAATCATGCGAGACCTTGCCCTGCAATAACACACAAGAGAGAGCGAGAGAGAAGGTGTAAGTTAAAAGTTAATAAGCGTAGCGAAATGGAGTGCTTCGAAACCGCCGGGCGTAAAACAAACGAATGCTCGCAGAGAGAAGTTGCTCGATGACGCACATTCCACTCTTGAGTCAGTGGCGGCGGAAATGCACTCGCTCTTTGTTTTTTTTTTTTTTTTTGTCTGCCCAGAGTCATGGGGCCTTATCACTAGTGCAGCTGAGGGGTTCTGGCGGGTCATGCTGCACTTCTTATCGCTCAGCATGCTGCCCGCATTTGTTACAGCTGTCAGCAAACCTCACAGCTCCACTCCACCGCACCCTCTGCTCACCAGTGGGCGGGCGTGAGACTCGAGTTTGGAGTCACACGCACAGCACACCCACGAAGATATACGACTTTTGCTTTGGGTTTTTTTCTAGGCGTTACTGTCGTTTTGTTTACTTGTTCTTAATTATTTGCAACTCTTTATCGCTTTATCTACCTGCCCCCTCTTGCCTAGTCAATCAACTACGAAAAACAGGCAGGTTTATTTATTTATTTTTGTGTTGCCCGATGATTTATTATGATGACTTCATTATTCGGGGCTTTTTGGTTAAAAAAAGGTGGGTACTATGCACTGAATAGAATCAAATCAGAGCATCTATATGATCGAAGCACAATTTAACCTTTTTATAGAAACCAATGACACTGACATGTATGTATGTATTTCAATATAGCTAAGCACCCTTAAGAATTGGGAATCTCTTTTATGGTAAATAGGGCTTGCCCTTCTTGGAATGCTAATTTGACGAAATTAGTTGAAACATTGTAAACATGTACATATACAGATATACAAACTCGTACACACAAACTAATTACAAATATGGAGCTTCAGATCGGCTCCCAATATGCTGAAAGCGATTATAAAGTCAACGAAGCGGAATACATCGAATTTCGCATGTAATGACAATTCCACATTGAGGTCACCTCGAAATATAGGCTCGAACTGAACACGTTTCAAAAGTGTTTTGTCAAGGCGATTATGCACCATTCCATTGACCGAAATCGGTAAGAACTGCGTGGACCAATTTTTTCCAAATATTTTATCACTTATTAACTATTTTTCTTGGCTTAGGGTAACGAATATATTTTAGGCATGGAGTCTCTTTCTTGGCCTCGGAATATTGCAAAATTGAAAGAGATCATTATATTTACTTGATATACTATAATGAGATTTCTGCGGAATTATGAAGAAAATTATACGAAAGCATGCCTAATTGACTAGAGAGCGGGCGGCCACACCCACTATTAAACAAAATAATAATTTTTATAATGATATGAATGAGGCAAGAAATAATTACAGTTTAAAAATATTTTGTTTCCCTAGAAAAATATGTTTTTTCTACTTTTTAAGATAATGTTTTATCAGACGAAAATATAGTTTTGGTAGAATATACTGATTTCGTCATGGAATAAAATCTTTTAAAATAATAACGTTATTTACAGAACCGAAAAATCTCTTTAGATAATATTAACATTTGAGTGAAATTTTGTATTATGATTATATTTTTTTGTGCAATGAATACGATGACAGCTTTGCAAAATAAAATCGATAAATTCATTCATATTCAAGAGGTTTAATGTCATTAGAAGGGTTTCCACGAGGCTGCTTTAATGAAGCTATAAGTCTTTTTGCTGGCTTGAGATTTGTCACATCACATTATTTCATTTCGATATACTTGTAAAAGAGAGGCCGAAGAGAGCTGATAAACTAGACATTGATATGTGCCAGTAGTTGGCAATCAAAAACTATTACACTTTGTCCAATGGCCTGCATAAAATTATGTTAATCTTTGGCTTAATTTAATTAACAATTTCCTGTCGTCGGCAAACGAAGAGAGTTGGATGGAGAGAGGGGCATGCTGCAGTTTAGGAGCAGCCTCCTCTGATAGTCGATATCAAACTGTGCAGCGGCGACTTGTTTCGGGCGCGCAACACGAAACGGAAACAATTTTTTTCATGAGCAATGCGCATGCGCAGCGGCCCGCCGAGTGAAAATGGCTGCCCGGGCGAACTCAGAAGCAGCTTTGATAAATCGCACATGAAACGGCAGTCGTCGTCGAAGCCATAGCAACAACTGAAGGCAAAAAGTGGCGAGCGATTGGGCGTTTGCGATAATTAAAGGCAATTATTAGTTTGTTTGCCTGCGCGAGTGGAGCGCGCTGAGTGCCCGCCAATTAGACCGAAAACTGGTCCCGCTGCACGCGTAAGAAAAACTGGCGCTCAGTGGCTGGACAACTGTGTGACATGCGGTGACAGTTGCCGTTTAGTCGCAGAAGTTTCGGTTGCTGCCACAGCCATCTATAAAGTATCTTTTAACTCCCTACAGTGGACATTGGCTTTGTGAGCCTTTGCATAAGTTTACTCTTTGAATTGAATAGCTAGCTTAAGCTGCTCAGCATTTAATTGCTAATTTAATCAGCAATCCATTAAATGTTTATCGCTGAAATCTTCTCTGTATGATTTGCAATAATGATATCTAAATCGTTTAAACAAAGGCCGCTAAACGTAACGTAATAAAAGAGTGATCCATCATTTCCTACTGATTATAATTAGTTGTATTTACTGAAAAACTTAAATAACACTGAGCAAAGTTCGCTTTTAAAATAACGCTCCGATTAACACCTTTGTAAGGAATCGAGGTCTCAATCAACACGTTTCAGTTGGTTTGGCATTAGTTGGCATTTTAAATAAGTTTTTAGCAAAACACAATCACAAACTTTTTAAAAGTGCAAGCTTGAATTTGCCAGAAGTTTTAGTGAAAGTTCCTAATTCTGCACAATCCCTGTTGAATACAAACTAACAAGCAGATTCATTTTATAAAACACGATCTATAGTTTTAATTCTTTTCTTTTAAATATACCTTTTGTTGACAATCAGTCAAAATTGTAACAATCAGATGGATAAAAGCCAGGTTATCGCACACAAAGCAACACTGTGTTATCGGTACAAAAATGAAAATCGCACAAAGAGCAAATATAAAGTTCTGTTTTAAAGTCGATAAAGAATTTTCCGAAACGTTTTAATTAATGAAACAAGTTTATAGTGATAAATGATAAGCAATGGTCGCGGTTAACTAAAAAACCAGTTATTACATTCAAAAAAAGAACGTGGGTTTATCAGAAATCAGACAAAATCTTCGGTGAAATAATGAAAGTGGAATTAAATTTCTCCAAATCAACGATTTAACGCATTTTAACCGAACAATCGGGTCTGCAAAATGTGTGTTTTTGCTTTGTTCCGCACCAGTTGACTGATAACCAATAATTTCTCATCAGTCGACACTTGCGATTCAAGAGGATTGTACCACCATTCCAAAGAAATCGTATTTGTCGGCTTATGGCTTAAAACACTCATTTAATTTGAAAATTGATTCGGAAGATGATTATTCTAAATAAAATAAATCTATTTGGAATAATATTCTTGTTATAAAAAAAAACTTTAAGATCGATAATGCTAAGATTATAAGTTGATATTTATTTATGAATAACTTTGGCCTGACTGACTAATTCACGCTAAAACTTTTTCTTTCATTACAGTGTAGGTGAGCATTAAAAAAAAAAACTAAGTTTTGAAAATTTACAGCACCAAATGGGGAAAAAGTTCGTATGATAAATAAGCCTTTTTTATTAAATAAACTATGGTTTGTTAGGGTATAAAATAAACTGCATTCGTTCATTGAAATTGTTCTTTATTTGGGTTTTAGTATCCTACATATAGATTTGTGAATTTGCAAAAAAAATAAAAAGAAACACTTTGGAAATTTTGAAGGAAATACACAATCAGGAAATTTCGCTATATAGACTCTTAATTGCTGCTAAAGAGGGATGCACGCCCGTATTAATAATACCCAGAAGCAGTAAAAAAAGTAATTTATTTATGTATTTACATACACAGTTCATATATTTCCACTATATTTTTGTATATTTCGCTCTAATTGCACAAAGACACGCACCCAAAATCGGTAGCTGGTGAGCATTTATTGCAAAAAAAAAGAGCTGATATTATTGAATGGAACAAAGTTTGCTCGATTGTGGGGTTTTTATGTTAAATGTTTCGAGTCCATGCAAGTGTGTACGTACGGATATATGTATGTATGTATATAGTATAACAACAACAACAACAGAAATGGTTGCTTTCCAATGTTGGAGTTGTGTCTGGCACCACGGTTTTTGTTGTTACTGTTGTTGTTGTTTTTATTTTTGCCGGCTACCGTTAGACGCGACGTCGCTCCACGAACTGAGGCGAGTCGGGCCTGCAACCACTGCGTGAAGGCCCAACTGAACGCCAAAGTGGCAGTGAAATGATAATGACTCGCTCCACGGGCAGAGACAGAGACAGAGTCCCAGACCGAGACCGAGACGGAGCTAGCGCTTGTGACGGCGACGGTGACGGTGACGATGACGGCGACTGCGACGTCAGCAGCTACTCGCAGATAAGATAAAAACCGCAAAAATCAATTTGCACGGACGGCGACAGAAATTATACGAGTCGTGCAATTTTTAAAAAATTAATTTGTTTTTTTTTTGTTGTCTATTTTAAATTTGAACTCTTCAGGATTTCTGTGATAATTTCTTTTCAGTTACTGTTAACAAAATCATTTAAACTAAATCGGTTATTTATGTGGCATTGGCTGCGCTGCGATAAGATAAAGCGGCACTCGCGGCGTGATTTGGTTTCGATATCGTTGTTGTTGGCCATATTATCAACGACCACCACAAACTAACATTGAAATTGGCAACGATGTGGCGTCGACGCATTTGATATATACTCGCATATGTATGTATGTATACGGGGGGACCGCCATGGGGTTGTCCAAACGGTCAGCCTGCTTGCACCATAAACCCGTTAGCCAAACAGTTGGACACACATGGAAACGGCTGAAAACGCACTGCCAAACAAAATTTGTCAAAATTAATCAAAGTGGCAATTTCACTCCCAATAAATCAATGCACGCAGTTTCCTAAGCGGCCACTTGCTTATGCGTCCCATCATCATGTGAGTGTTACGGGTGTGGATTGGCGGTGGCGGTGGCAACTGCCCTGGAGGAGCCATACCTCCACAGTGAAAACAGAGCGATGCATTTTTGACATCAATGCCAAACAAAATCCATTGAACCAACTGGGCGAGACAAATGCAAAACCGCACGCAACATGTGGTGGCTGGCCGGCTGGCTGTGAAAAGTGAGAGTGAAGCCTCCGATGGAGCTATGGGAACTGTTTTTATGGTAATATTTCTTCGAGTCCATTTTTTAGGCGACTAAAACGAAGTGTCACTTGACTGCCTTTGGCGAAATGCAATAAAACTGATTACACTAGGGAGATTGATGTGAAAATGATGTGTAGATAACGAAAAAGGATTCATTTTTATTAAATATTTTTCTAATCTTGGACAACCATGATCTAGCGATCGGTTATGGCAAAAGCTGGAAGGTTGGCGTGGCTGCTTGCACCTAAAATCAAACTGTCCCTGTACAGTAAGGTCACAATTTACAAGTCCATCCTAAGCCCAATATGAAAATATGCGCTACAAAGTTACGGAATTGCTGCAAAATCTCACTTAAACAAATTAAGAGTTGCTCAATCGAAAATTCTCAGGAAGATATGCGACAAGACAATTATGAGAAGCGGTTCGGCAGTCACCCCAACGCACTAGTGAGACGACTGCCTTCGAGACCCAGGAAGAGAAGTGCCATTCGAAGGATCCCCCCACGAGATCTCTTGTGTAAAATATAATTTCATAAAATATATTTCATATTTAATCTAAATATATTGTAAATATTCCATTGTATATACATGTATATAGATTTAAGTGTGTCCTATAGATATATACTATAGACAATTCTTGTAATCCCCATTAATTTTCAACTAGCTTAAGCTGCCATATTGATAGCAGAATACTGGTTTAATAAATTGTATATAAATTTAAAAAACATCAAATCTTGGACTTCTTCCAATATTAGCTCTGCACTCTTAACATTCTAAAGTCTTATATAAAAAAGAGTTTTCGGACACAAGCGTAGTCTTTCACATGAAAAAAGCATCGTAGCGAACATTTTTCATTCACATTACAGAAATGAGAATCGCCGAGGAGAGCAGTCGCCTAGTGTTTAATGAGAAAACTGATTGCAATAACTCTATCGCGAGCAGTTGATTTTTGCGCCCGCTGCTATCAATTGATGGTTTCAATTACTTGCTCGACTCTAAGTGCTGCTTGAATCGGACCACTCTGCTCCCCATCGAGTCACTTATGGCCCATTAAACGTAACAAACTTGTCATTGAACATGTTTCGTGCATGTTTACCAGAAAATTTACACGAAAGACGAAAAAGCGCGTGCAGAGATTAGAGAAATTTGAAGCAGGCGGGGCAGAGTGTGGCAAGCACGCAGAGCAGCTGGACCACCACGATGGGGCATCGATTTCCAGCCACCGATCGCTCCAATAGTGCGTTGGCGGCGTCAACATCGTTCAGGTTCAGACGAAACTGAAACCGAGCAACAACAAGAAAAGCGCCCATTTGCCGACGCCGTCGGCGCCCAAAGTGACGACGATCCTCCACTATTGGCATGGCTCTTGCCAGCTTGTGTAAATTAAAACGTGCCCCATGCAACAACAACAACAACAGCCACAACATTCAAGGCTGGGGCACAACCGACCAGCACAATATTCACCCGCCTTTGAATGATGAATTCGTTTCGCAAGCGGGGCAAGTGCTGCGAATTTTGATGACCAAGGCGTTTTCCGAGTGCGAGTGCGTGTGCGCGATGCTTGTGATGTGGTGTAGTTTATCATTTCTGGGAAATTTACACATCGCTCCGATGTTTTAGTCATCGTGGGACACAAAGCCCAATAAGTGAAAGCCTTTCAGGTGCGAGTAGCGGTTGACTAAAAAGTTACTCACATACGAGTACTTGAAGGAAGCGTCCACTACTTATTAGATATTTATATATACTTGTATTTGCAATATATACATTCATCAACGATCAAGTTTAATGCTCCATCGTTTCACGCACATTGTGCGAAATAGTTAGCAAGACAAAAATACTGCAGAGTTCACTAAAGCTTTTATTGGGATTCAAGAATTCCCCTTTTAGAGTGATAGCCAGCACCCAGCCCGGACTTAAATACGATACAATGTCTTTATGCCAACGGAAGGCAATTTAGAACTCTAAAAGAGTTAAGAGGACTCATTATTCGAAAATGGGAAATATTGGATATTCAAATGCTCCAAAGCTAGATGAATCAACGCCAGGTCAAATAACGGATCCATTTAAAATGATGTTCCATTTAAAATATATTCATCGTTTAAAATTCATTTTTTTTGCTCTTTTGTAAAAAAATAAATTTATCCTAGTTTGTCATTTCGTTTGAAAATATTTTATTTAAAATTGATATTGTATTTTCTGAAGTTATATTTGCTTTATTTAACTTGAAGTCTATTGATAATTTTTATTGAGTTTAAGCAATAATTTCTTTTTTTTTTTAATATATTGAACGTTCTACTATTATCCTAGTTAATTATTTCACGCATTATTTTAAATAGTCCGAGGCAGTTATCGAATCCGTTCTGTTCTGACCATGTTCTACGTGGCTAAAAGTTTCTTCCATTTCGAGCTCATTTATACGTTTCGAGTTTTAGTTTCCGCGCACCTTTATATTATTTTTCGGTTAGTTTGGTTTTGAAAATAAAGAGCAAACGAGCCGATTTTAAAACCTTTTAATACCTAATTAGTTCCGGTAGGTTCAATTGGGTAATCACATATACAAGTAGAAGTGATTCGGAGCATGGTTTCAGAACTAAGAACACTAAGAACTCTCTAAAATTGTTTTTTATGTCTCAATGAATTAAATTATTTTATCCCTAATATTTATATTTATTTACCAAGTTTTACATTTAATTATGGATTTGAGCATAGCAGAAAAATTCCCAGAAGGAATATTTGTTTTTACATATTATTGTAGGGTTTAAGACTACTATGTATATCCTTTTCAGGTTTTATGAAAGGGATTCGTAATTGAAATTATAGTATTCTTGAATCGAAATGATTTGTTTTTTTCACAGACTTTTGGGTTTGTTTGGAAAGCAAGAATAAATATATGGTACATCCTTGATTTCCATTTGAAAGGAATGGAGATTGCATTACTCTGTTGTTTCCCCTTTGGCGAGCTTGTTTGTCTCTTTCGTGGACTATACTATATTTTGTGATTTGCCGTTGGTCGACTTACCTCTGCCATAGTTGGCGACATAGTCGCATTGCTGCTGCTAGCCTGTGATTTGGCCGACTTGGCGGACTTGGCCGGCGAACGCGGTGGCAGGCGATTGCCGGAGCACATTTCACTGGGCCAGACGCTTATGTTGCAGATGTCGGCGCGACTGTAGTAGCTCGTCTGGAGTGTCTAGAAGAAATCGAAACGGAAACCTTAAATTGGCGCAATGTTTTGAAAAGCGGTGACGACGATGTCGAGACTGTTAATTAAAAATGCAATTTATGGCGCCCATTTCGGCCACGAAACGGAAAACGGAAAAACCGACGTGCAAACGCCATTCCACTTCATAATCAATCAGCTGTCCAAGTGTCTAACTCTACTGTACTGTTTTAGCCAATTCGTTCGTCTCCAGCCTGGGAGCACGGCAAGATAGATTGGCATTTCGTTTTCGCCTGACTGCCTGCCTGTCTGTCTGTCTGTCTGTTGGCCAAACTTCCTTGAATGCAATTCGTGTTCATGGCTCTATTAGATTAACCCAATAAATTGGCGGACTGCTGCCAAATGGAAGCGATGTTCGCCACAAACAAAACGTCCCTTTCAATTGTTCGATTTGTTTTTCATTTCGCCGTTTTCGTTTCTTCTATCCCTCTACTGGGATGAAGAAATAAATCACACGTTTTTAGTTAATTTCGTACTTTCCCATTTTTGACGTGCGCGGCTCAATATCGAGAGCTCAACATTTTCCTGGACTCCTCGCTATTTGTTTCTGTCTTTTGCCCACGTTCGACATGCAGCATGGAGCATGCAGCATACAGCGTGCAACGTGCCACTTGCCCCAGCTGCTGTAGGTTTCAGTCAGTTAGTGTAAGTCGGATTTTGAATGGCAGTTGCAGTCACCATGGTGCATGATTCGCTTTCATTACTCCAACTGCTTAATCACAACGTCGAGACGGCGGCAGTGGGAAAATATCAGCTATTTATTGGAAGTGCACTCATTTGGCCAACTTGGGTCGGCCTACCACTTTGGTTAATAGTCCACAAAGTTTGCCCAACTTTATTGACATATAGTAAGTCATAGGCAGACCAGTGATCACATTCACATTTGTTTTGGTCGCAGGTATTGCGGCTCTGCTGACCGACCGTACAGACTGTGGGAACTCGTGCAATATTCGTGCTGGCTTTGATTTATTTCAGCCGATTGTGTCCCTTAAAAGTTCAAGCTGATTTGTTGGCCTCCTCTAGTTCTAATGCATGTACCGTGGTGGATTCCAAAGACTGACACTGATGTGTTGTCGCCATTTTTGGATCAAATTCAAATGTTTACAGAAACTCTGAGCTGTGTTTGTTACAAACACGATTGAAAAACAAATCCTCAATTAGTCTCTTTGGAATCTACACAGCGATTTGTAAAAAAAGAGTCTAAAAGAGTCAAAAGAATAGTTCAGATCCTCGACAAGCATTTGCTTCAATAGGCTATATTGCTATAAAAAGCAGTGAATTTCCGTTTACTGGCGAACTCATTTTGCACATTTAATACATATTTTATATTAAAAGTCTTAAAAAAAGAAAAAAACAATAATAATAATAATAATTTCGAATTGCTTACAAATCCGAATTTTTGATAAATACACAGTTAGAATATAATACGTTTTTCTACATGCTCCATTATTCAGTTTTATCTACTATCTAGATCTATTATAATTATTTTTGTAATGGTAAAAAAAGATGACTGTTGATGCCACAACTTAATGAGGCATAAGGACAAGAAAATATTATTATTTTGTAATATTTCCCAACTTAACCTGCCAGTCAGGCCGTGATGTACAAAAGATATATCAATGCACATCGACAGTTATTAAGGTGACATCGATATTACATTTGAATAAATAATGACCATTCGACTTGCTGGAAGAAGCGATCAAATACACACATAATATGATTAGGGATGTAACAAAAACATCGATGTATGGATGTTTTTAGCACGATGCATCGATGTTTTACGATGTTTTTTGCTTGCGATGCATCGTCGATTCATCGATCATTTCATGTTGTGTTGGGCGGTCACTTTCTTTTTTTGGTCTACCGGAGAAGGTATTTTGCATTTTAATGTTTAAGATGTTTTTATTGAAATGTGTATTTTATATATTAGATTGTTAAGAATTTGATCTTCAATGTGAAATGTGTATTTTATATATTAGATTGTTAAGAATTTGATCTTCATTTTGATTTGTATATAATGCCAACGTATTTTTTTCTGGAAATTGAAGTATTTAAAAGGTATGCGCATTAATATTATTAAAATGCGTGACTGCAAAGCGTCGGATTGATTTTTTTAAATACAAATTCATTAGAAGTCAGGATAACGATTACTTATTAGTTAATATCATTCGATAAAATTGTATGATTGTATGTATCTTGATTAATACACATTTTTGACGTTCAAACATCCCTGTTGATTTTCTCCCTAATATGAAAATTTAATTTCTGAACATATATTTGCACATCAATGTTTTATGCGATGATTTTTATTTTTTAAGACATCGGTGGAGAGGTGTTAGGCAACAAGCTTCGATGCTTTGAATGTTTCGAATCTTACGAGTACGAAACAAACCACTCCCCAAAATAGCCTTAGTCGCAATGGTTAAGGTTTGGTTTTCGACTTTACTCTTGCGTATTCGTTTAAAGCCGGCTTGATATCTTGCCAAAACACATTCGTATTGGTATTTCGCAATCTGAACAAAACTACAATACTATTGTTGTTGTTTCCACTCACCTGTGCAACACTTCGATTTCCATTTGCATTATCAGCGACTTCGGCTTCGTCCGCCTCCTCCGAATCGACGCCCATCTGGTGGTTCTCTCGTTGCTGTTTAGAGTCCAAGCGCGACTGTTGATGTTTGTGATTATTGTTATTACTGTAGTTGTTGTTGTTGTTGCTGCTGGCATGCTGATGCTGCTGCTGATTGTTGTTGTCGCTTTGCAGTTGTTTGTAGCAATTGTTGCTAATGATGTGTCTTGTGTTGTTGCTGTTGTTGTTGTTGTTGGTGGTGGAGCTGCCATCGCTGGCACTGCCACTGCCACTGATTTGCAATTCCATGTCGACGCGCTGCATTTGTGTGACTCGCGACGTGGCCGAAGTCTCGGTCCCAATGCCGTTCGAGGAGGAGGAGGCGCTGCTGCGGCTGCTGCTGTCGCAGTTGCTGCTCAAAACCGCTCCTGTATGTGCCACCAAGACAACGCCAACACTGGACGTTGTGGTTGTTGCTGTTATTGTTGGTGTAGCTGCTGACGTGGATGATGTGGTTGTGACCAGTGCCTCCTTGTTCTCCTTATCAGAGTCGTCGCTGGTTGAGGCAGTGATCGCCGCTCCTGCTGCGCCTGTCGAGGTGGTCGAAGAGACGGCCGCCGATTGCAGACCATCGACGAAGACAACTGTCTGGTTTAGGTTGCCAGTTGACGTCGTCGTTGTTGTTGTTGCTGTGTAGAGCCAGCCCTCATCGTCATCCGATGAAGCATCAGCCGATTTGAGTATCTAGACGTAGCAATGGATGCATAATAGAAAATCAAAAAATCTGTGAGCAAAGTTCTCGCCGACATTTATATTTATACTCGTATATACAACTATATATACATATACAAGTATAATCATTGTGTGTTTGTGTATAGCATTAGCAATGAAGATGGAAACATGAAAATCACAAAAAGGAGGGAAGAGTGAACAAAAACAAAGCAACAGCTTCAAGAAGTTGAGGGCCCAATGGCAACATTGTTTGTTTGTGCTCGCAACTCCTCATGAGCATTGCACATTGTGCAGATGAAGATGAAGTTGTGGAAAATGAAGTTTAATTAGCGTTACTTGCGCAAAATGGCAAATTGTAGCTTGTTGTTGCACCAGCAACAATGCCAAAAACAACAACACCAATCGCTTGCAGTTGTCGACATCGAGACATTGGCAACATAAAACGCCGACCATAGTCGCCGACACAAATTGCTGCCAATCGCAGTCACTGCACAGTGTTACCGATTCATTTATTTGGACTTATTTATAAATATAATTGTTGCCAGTATTTAAATCATGTGTGGTATACCTTTAGGTTTTGCAGAGCATATTAAACAGACTATGTTTTTGTAGCTACTTTTTCTATTCTGTTTAGGATTCTTTCAATTCTCTTTACTGAAGCCTTATCAATTTAAATTTTAAAGAGATTTTTCTGTTTGGGATCCGAAATTTTTTGAGGGATTTCTTAGAAAACTCATCATTATAAATATTTAATACGTAGATTAAAAGGAGTGCTTTCGTGTTGAGTTCCATTAAAAAAGTTGTAATAATTTGTTATTTTTTTTTTTTTTTGATATTTAAATATTGTACGATTAACAATTGGTTTTGAAACCTCATATCCGGAAACATTTTAAAAACGGAAAATTACTCAAATATTTTTAAAATAATCAAAATATTTGAGAATGGAATTATTTCGATTAATGATCTAATTCAACTAATTACGGTTAAATCAATTGTCAACCCAAACCACTGTGCCATTGCAACTAAGGCTTGAGGCATGAGTGGCAGAAATCTTTTGAGCTCGTCTCAAATGCCGGCGGCGTGGCCGTGGCCCGTTGCGCCTCAGTAGAGTTGCTCGCTGGCCCGGAGTTGCAGCCGCTCGAATATTTTCTTTGTTTGCAATTTATATTAATGGTGCGCCGTTCCATTTGTCTATGACATGGGGCGACCTCAGTCTGTTTGTCTGTCTGTCGAGCTGCACTTGTTAAAATGTGACTCGGTTTGGGAGAAGTAGTAGGTGCCTAGGGGTAGCCTATTAATGTCATTTGCATAATATTCAACTACTGCCTATTGAATCCAGCTCGTATAAGAATAACGCTTAACAATTTTAAATGTTTCTTATATGTTTTTTTGTAGTTGAAATAAATGTAATTAAAAGAAAGAATGGCAGTGGTATTTGTAGAATAGTAATTGTTTTATGAATTGCATTCAAAACTTCAATATATCTACGAGTATACCCTATCTTCATATTTTAAACTATTGGTAAAAGCTACCTAAAAATCAAATTCGTACAAAAATGTAGCTGCAGGGGTGAAAGAACTTGGCCCCTGACCGCGATCAAAACAAAACAACTTCCGCCCAGGGCAACAAAAATATATATAATACGAGTCTGAAATGGCGATGCTCGAAATGAGTTTCAATATTTTGAAAGAAAAATTAATGATTAATGAGGCGGGCAGCGCATAGAAGTTATGTTTGTATGCGTTTGCAATAATAGATGGCTACTAGACAATGGCGATGGACAAAGAGAAGATGTTAATTAAGAATTTGTTGTTAGACATGCCAGAGAAGATACAAGACAACTAACATAATAGATATTATTTATGCAGATATGTATGTTTATGAGTTAGTTTAAAACAACAGACAGGCGATATAGGCGATAGATTCAAGACCTGAAAGGCATGCAAAAATTGAGCGACGGACAGTTGACGAAGACGAAGCTTTTCGACAATCAATCAAATGTTGACACAACAATCCATGAGAGTGCGGATGGCGGCTTAAGGCGAAGAATAAAGAATTTCAAATGGCCAATTTACATGAAAATAATTGACCATGCAGTGATAATGATATTTGGAAATTGTGATTGCCGATAAAAGCTGACTAAGCGAAACTAATAAACTGAAAACCCGAAACCAAGAGACCCAGAGACCCAGACCCAGGTCCAGAGACAGACACAGGCCCAGGCCTAGACCGGCACCGAACCAACACCATGAATACCGTGAATTGTGAACGCAATCGGCGCTGATGTTGGGATGTTGCGTGCTTGGAGAAACCATCACCAGCTCATAACGGTACTTACGTCGCTGGTGTGCGAGACGGCACCACCGTCGGCAACACCATCTGTGCCCGCACCGCTCGTCTCGTTGTCCGTGTCCAGATGCTTGAAGTAGAAGATGGCACAGTTCTTCGACTTGCGATTGGACCGATTGAACTTGGAGGTGTCGTTGTGGCGATGTGGCACCATCGGCGGCAGCTGCTGCTGCTGTTGCTGCTGCTGCCTCTTCCGTAGCACCGTCGGCGAACCTTTGCTCAAGCCGTGACTGTGACTGTGACTGTTGCTGTGGCTGTGACTGTGGATATGGACGCCATCGTGGCTCGTGCTGCCATGCGAATTGGGCGTAATGATGGCAATATTCTTCGGCTTGCCGTTGGGCAACATTTTGTTGTTGTGGCGCGCGTGCAGCATCGGGGACTGCAGCTTTGAATGCGCTGTTGTTGCAAGCGTTGTGCTGTCGTAGGCGTTATGAATCGTGGACATAATGCTTATATGCTGCTCTCCAGCATCTTGCTGGCAGCTCGCAGCGGCTGTTATACTCGTATGTGTAATGATGGGCGTGCCTCCCAGTCGACGCTGTCGTCGCAGCTGCTGCACGTGCTCCAAGTCGCTGCTCTCGGAATCAGCCTCAAAGTCGGTGAGTGTGGCCGCGGGACTAGCGCGGGATGCAGAGCTGATGCTGCTATGCAGCAGGGCAGCACTGTAGGGCAGCTTGCGCCAGGCGCGTTTCGAAATCACAAAGTCAACGACGTCTATACCGTCCTCGTCGTCGTCCTCCTCATCCGCGTCGTCACCGTCCTCACAGTTGACGGTCTTTTCATGATAGCGCCAAAAAGCAGCGTTGCGGATATTTGGTTTTTATTATAGAATTTATATAAAATCAGGTGCAGTACAAACTTTCCTAACTTGAGTGCGTCTGAGCACCCCAATCTCATTGATCACTGATTGGGGGAAAATATAAATAAATTTATGCCACTAATCAAGGATTGAAATGAGTTGACAAACGCGCCCGATATGCCAAAATGTTTGTAATATAAATATAGAAATATAGAGTTGCAGAAAAGTGGAACTTTTTTAATTTTAAGAGACAATGAAAGTGTAATCCATATTGATATTTAAAACAATTGCGATTAAGTTGCAACTTCTAACAAAATATTAAAAACATATATTAAGTATGTGAAATGGGAAAGCTTAGCCCCAAGGCAACAAGCTAATACTTTAATTTTGAACAATTTTCGAACCAAGTCCGACTTTGTTTCCTGAATCTAGGCTGACTAGAGGGTTTGAACTTACTTGCCTTGTTTTTTAACTACTTATACCTGAATTGTTCGATTAAATATTTAGTTATTCTTAACAAATATATGATTTTCTAACCGCACAAGCTTATGCTTTAATTTTGAACAATTTTCGAAACAAGTCCGATTTCTGACTAGAGGGTTTTAATTTTGAACAATTCCTCAAGTTATGAAAGTTTGACTGCATTTGCAAATTTAAATAGGACGCTTTGACACACACACACACACACATACGCCCAATCCTCACACTCTATTCTTTGAGTTTTGCCGACTTAGGTTTGGACAAGGAAGAGCGTTATCTAATCATATTCTTGATCTTGATCATGAAAAGGCCAAAATAACGAAACCATTGCTGTTAGTAATCAAAATTTGATGTTAAATTTTCTTGCTTTTTTTTGTTTTTTGGATAAAGTAGCGGAGCTCAAAGGTAACAGTTAAGTCGACGATACTGTACGGCATGCATACTCGTACTTAAAGCTACAACGACAGCAACAACTACTCGTACATACATCATCAACATGAACAAAAACAACAGTAAGAACAACAACAACAACAACAAACATTCAAACGCGCACAAATTTGGCAAAATGCAAATGAGGTGGGACGACTTACCTTTTGGGCTGCGATACTATCGCGGGACTGTGCCTCGTGGGGCTCTGTGGCAATTGCGTTGCCAGCTACGACAATCTCGGTGGCAGCTACGTGGCAGCGTTGCAAGTCGGCCGCTGCAAACGATGAAGACGAATGCTGTGTGCCGGCGCTCTCGCTCTCCAACTCCAAATCGGAGCCAACGTCGTTCAGATCGTCCTCGGTGGCTGCGCCTTCGTAGCCGAACGAATCGTCCGAGTCGTCGTCATCCAGACCATTCTGTAAGCAAAGAACAAGATTGGGTCGAAGTCAGTAGAGTTCATTAAACTTGAAACAGCAATATTTGAGGTTCTGATATAATCGTTTGAGACACTGACGATGACAACGTGCAGGCGATTGAAAAATCGCGTAATCATGCGAATGCGAACAAAGACAATGACAAAGAATTCTAGCAACCATAAAATACTGTGGGAATAAATAATGGAATGTGATACATCAGTCAAAACAATGTCAATCCAGAAGCTCATTTCGGTAGTTCCTACTTAGCAAAGTGGGGCATCTATGCATATTCAATTATTTGTAAGCAGACTTTCCAGTCCATACCAATTTTCATATAGATATGATATGATTCGTGCTATAACCCTTCAATTCAATGTACACACACAATATACACAAAAGAAATGTTCTTACCAAGTTTTGCTTTTCTATATTTTATATTTGTTGAGATAGAGGCGTTCAAACTAACAAACAGATATTGTAATAAATACTTATATGCTGCTTCAGATGTTTCCTTCTTTCTTTAACACAAAACTAAAACATTTATTTGGCCTTTAATATTTTTAAAAAGACTTTCCAGTCCATAAGAATTTTCATATACATAGATAAGATATGATTCGTGCCATAACCCTTCAATTCAATATGCACATCAGCAAAAAGAATGTTCTTACCAAATATTGCTTTTCTATATTTTATATTTGTTGAGATAGAGGCGTTCATACTAACAAACAGACATTATAATAAATAAATGTTGCTTCTTATGTTTTCTTCTTTCAAAATTAAAACATTTCCTTACCCTTTAATACGAAGTGTACTTGAATGTAAAATTGTTTATTTTGAATTCAGAGTACCATCTGTAGGCCCCAATTTACCTGCTGTTTGTAATAAGAAGTGGAAAATCTGTTCTTAGGTAAACATTACTGGGCACAAATAAACAAAGTATTCGATTGGCGCCTGCAATTGGCAGAAGTTTGCTTTAAGATTGATGTTTTTTGAAGTGATCGCCCTACCTAGCGGCTCAAAAGAATAAAGAAGAATTTGTTTCGTCAATATCTGCAGCGCATAAATCATCAGTTTAGTGCTGGACAATTAGTGAGCGACGTTGTCTAACAAAAAAGAACGCCTCTGCGACCTTCGAAATGGGTTATACAGACTTTAGACTACAGCAAAGAACAAGAACAGCGTTACGTAAATCCACAAGGCAAATCATAAAATTGGCGGCAAAGCGATTTGATGTTTTTGCTTAAAATAATTTCCCGCCGTTTTGTTTTTGTGAATTTTTTGTTCGAACAGATCGGCGGCCGAGCTACTTGTATGTTGTGTAGCAATAGATTTTTCAAATACATACGAGTATGTACACATGCCTTGATATAATCAATGGGTGAGTCAATTGTTGGAGGCCCGCGTTCTGCGTTTGTTAATTTCAATTTTATTGACTGCGAACAACCGGGCTGAGGTAATGTTGGAAAAATGTAACAGTGCGTTCAAGGCCGTACGTAGTTCGAGGGTCAGATGAGCTGTGAACTGAATTATCCAAAGTGCTTGTGGATGTGGATGTTGCTTTACAAAACTTATCACTTTTCATGCCACAAGGCCTCCAAAGATGTCTATTTGGAGGCAGTCGATGACGTGTGCACAGCTTATCTGACATCTGCCTGCCAGACCAATCCAAAGCAATTATAATCCACACAATAAATTTGAAAAAATATGAAAGAAGAGGAACGGAGTGCCGGGGCTGTAGTGAATATTACGTGACACCAGTGGCAAGCAGGAAAAATCATGTGAAAATCAGCGCGGTCAACATGATGGCAGTTTTCCCAAGACGCTGCCGCCGGCACCGACATTATATGTTGCGACTGTCTCTGCTACTGCTGTTGCCAATTAAAACGCTTTGCTCTGCCTCAAAATGTTTGTGACAACCACCAGTACTCGCAACAACTTAATCTGGCCAAAAGCTGTCACAGCAAGCGTTTCTGCGAATGCCTTTATATTTTCTTAGCTACCACTCCAAATTAGTTAGAGCAGTGTCAGAGGAGGCAGGCAATTTCTTGATAATGACTATATTTCATAATGAAATATTTAATTCGATTATGTTATGGACTTGAGTCATGCACAAGCTCCATATTAACCGCCTTTACCTTTAAGACTTGCCCAACCGTACCAATCGACTTTAATTAATGGGGCAGATAATGGGTGCAATTTATATTGTGCTCGCAGTGATCTCTCATTTGGTTCAACAGTTCCATCATTTTATTCAATTAGATATTTATGAATGTTCACTTAAAATTTTATTTAAATATTTATTAATTAATTTGTTTTAAAAATGTCTCAAGCTAAAATATTTGCTGGCGAAAGTTATGTTTTGCATTTCACGTTACGTGTCGAATTCTAAAGACTCGATGAACAAGAAAGTATCTTCATTACCGATTTGGAAAAAAATCCTATTAATTGTGGCGATGTATGCTGGGAAAAAGAGCAAAAGAGGCTCCCGAGTGGGAAAATGATTTTAAAAATGCTCTTTAAATATAGTTTCCTCAAAGGTTCATTCATAATTTTATGCAAATATTGTTAACACAAGATTATACTGACGAACTTTATGTCTTTTTCAATGTTTTGTTTTATCTTTTTAAATATTCGTTGATAGTCTCATTACGAAGTTTGGAAATTGGAATTACGCGTACAGTTCTCCCTTCCAACTTGAAAAAAAAAACCAAATTAACAACTATATTTTAACTGTTATTAGGTTGAAATAATTTATCAAAAGAGATGAAAGAACACTTTCCAAAAGTTAACACCTTTTTCAAATCGAACACAACACTCGACAAAGTGATCGTGAAGGAAAACAGCTTGAGATTTGGCCCGCGATCAAGCTGAAATTTCCATAAATTAGCATGGCACCTAAATACAAAACACCCGCATTAGAGTTGTTGGCCAGATTTTAAAAGATAAGCGGTCAACACACATTTTGATTAAGTTAACCGAAAACGAATTGAATTAGCGTGGCAACAAATTAAGGTTGGGGGAAAAGGCTTCGTTTAGAGTTTTTGAGCAACGGAACTTCTTTAGGAAAATGGAAAAGGAAAATTACAACTGAACTTCAAAGCACCTATTCTCATCCCATCTCATCTCATTTTTGTTTGTTAGTGGAGTTGTGTGTTGGCAACAATTTATGAGCTTATTATGCAAAATGCGTTTGCAGACACGCTCGTCGCCGCCCCAAACGCCCCAGCAGTGCGGCAACTCGATCAAAATACAGCAACGCCCTTCACATACATACACGAGAGCATGTAGTCGAGTCGCATGCGTCAAGAGGCGACAACTAGGAGAGCGACGCCTAAGAAGTGGTGGGAGGGGTAGGGTGTGGGGGGGAGGTTTCCTTTGTACTTCGTTTAGTTGGAAATTAAGTTCAAGTTTATCGTAACGCACTTCACGCGAAGTCAAAGAGCTGAAGACAAGGCAGGTTTGGGATTGAGGCCGGACGAACATTGAAGTTGCACGTGTGCCGAGTTGCCGGTCTATGACGGTTGGGCGATAGGGTAGGGCATATGTGGGGTCCGGGGTATGTGTCGTGCAGCCTGCTTAGCACCTCATTTAGCACGAACTTGATCTTAAGCTCTGGGCTAACAACGTTACCAGTTGTCATTAGGGTTCAGACTCCATGCCCGATAGAGATCTTGAACGTAGACACACACGGACAGACGACTCACGCAACCGCTCGCTCCGTCACAATTTTCACGTCATTTTCATTTCTGTGGAGCGCCCTTTTGTTTTCCACAGAACTTTGTCCGAAGTGCATGACAAAATGCAGCACAAAACTTGTCTGCACCGGAGTCGATAAAACGATAACTCGTCTATATAGTATGTGCTTGGCTGTGTGGGAAAAAAGCTAAACACTAAACACACATTATTTCTTATTTACTTGCTACTGTTTTGTCTTCATTATTGTTGTTTTTGTTGTTGTTGGCTTTGTAATTATGCATTTCTCGCACGCCAACAATTTATTATCGTTAAACGTTTTCACGTCATCGATATAAATTTTCATTTACTACTTATATATGTACGTACAGGTGTGTATAGTTCAGTGTACGTGTAGTGTGTGTATGTGTGTGTAATTATCATGCAATAAAAACGTGAGTTGCACTTGGAAATTATTTTTAGATGTGAATATTTAATTGCCACATAAATGACGCTTTCATTTGTTGGGTAGCCTGGTCTATGAAAAATCAAGGCGGCAGATTTCTGGACTTGCTGACGGACGTGTCGAGGCGTCCGATTGATTAAAATATCATTTCACTGATGAAACAATTTTAAGATAATTCAGAAATTATTGCATACAAATGATAAGTTTTTCTTTGTTGTCTGAGGCATTTAGTTTTGGTATTTAGCAAGTATTTCATAATCGGATAAGTGGTACTCGTATAATCAAATAGATCTTTATTTATGTTGAATTGCAGTGAATTCTTATCAATTTGAAGAAGACGGAAATTGAATCAGGCCCACTTTTGAGTTATTACCAAGTAATTTATTCAGATACATTATTGAAATGTAATTTTTTTTTGGCAACTTTATTATTAATTAATAGTATTATGTTTTGAAAGAAACATCATTTGTTATATGTTAATTCGGACCATTAACAAAGCAGCTTTGTGATAAAATGTAAATATCGAAAGCCTACGACAAACTTTATTTACATATGACTAGACTTTATGGCTTATGAAAACCAGCCATATTTTCTTTGCTGATGAATAACAACAGTCTAGCTTGTTACATGTTTGTATTGAATTGGATTTAAGAAACCATTAACATTTAAACCTAAAGCAATACAGTTGACTTATAGAAGCATCATCTAAGCTGCAATAATACTTATCACTTCATTTTTTTTGTCACATCATTAACTCTACATAACTGAAATTTCGCACCAATTACTCAATTTACTGCAAACATTCAATGAATTTCAACCAGCGACAACAACCGCTGCACCGCTAACAACAACTGCAACAACT